TTGCTTCTCTTGCTCATCATCAGCTTGCTCCTTACCACTGCTGAGTAGTTACTATGGACTGAATAGTTACTATGAATAGTTACCGAAGTAACTATTAGTTACTTAACTGAATAGTTACCGAAGTTACTATGGACCCCCCCCAAAAAAAACCTTGTAGGGCCTTCAAGGAGATAATTAAGCTTAAATGTGTCACAAAGGTGGGGTCCTACTCTACAGGACTGGTGTCCTTATAAGAAGAGATACCAGGGAAGCTCAGTCCCAGAGAAAAGGCACCCACAGTGTACATGTCCAGCATGCACAAGGCCCTGGGTTCCATCCCCAACAACTCTGCGAGAAATGCAGGCACATGTGTGCACACACACACACATACACACACACGCACACACGGTGAATGTGCCCATCTGCAAGACACATGGAGAGGCCTCGGGAAACAGCAAACCTGCTAGCACCTTGATCTTGGATTTCTAGCTTCCAGACCTGTGAAGAAATATATTTCTTTTCCTCTTCTCCTCCCCTCCCCTTCTTTTTTGAAACAAGACCTTGCTCTGTCATCTAGGCTGGCCCTTAAACTTGCAGCCCTCCTGCTTCAGCCTCCCTGAGTGCCAAGATTCCAGGTAGGCACCACCGGCTACCTGTAGCCTGGCTCAGAAATAACTCTGTTACTTAAGACACCTGGCCCGCATTGCTTTGCTGTGCCAGCCCCAGCTGATGAATACTGTGTAAGCGAGAATAGTGTATGCTCTCACCACAGGTAGCAGTTTTATACACAACAGCTGAGACTTAGAGATGGCTAGCAACTCTCTACAGCTCTGTAGATCAGCTAAGGATTAACCTGGGCCTGTGGGCCTGCGCCCAGTGGAAAGCAGCAGGAAAGTACACAAAGTAAGGGAGCATTTGCTTGCAAGCCAGGGGAGGGTTGGAGCCTGGAAGCGCTGCCTGCTAGAAGGAAGCAGGGACTGTTCATCATATTGGTCCTGATGAACTAGGAAGCTATTTGACCTGGGCTCCCATCCTACAACTTAGATCAGAACCTACAAGCCCTGTAAGGTCACCTTGGAGATCTAGGCAAAGAGGTGAAGCTAGGTCAATTTCAAGTTTGATAATTCATAGGGGCTTTGGCTCAGTGTCCTCTGTGGACACTTAGACTGGCCTCCCAATTCTGGTCTAAGTCTACTTCAGCCAAGAGGTTTATAGAGACGGGGGACAAGGGGCAGCTCAGGGTCCTGCAAACATCACTCCTTCTAGGGGTAGAGTATAGAGGCGCTGGCAGCCTTGCCCTCAAGGTTAAAGTATGATGTCTACTAAATAAACAGTGCTGCAAGCACTATCAGAGATTATTTCCTTAGGCTAGAAATCCACATGTAGAAGAATCTGAATGAATGCTGTGACTGTTCCTCAAACGCAGTGAGGTTTCAAAGGAATTAAAAAGTGATGGAAACTGCCAAAGATATGGCAAAGCAGTAAAGACATTCTTGGCAGAGCTGGGCCTCAGTTCATCGGACTTCCTAGAGTGGCCAACAGATGCCAGCATGAGTGACGTAACCTCCAACAAGCACCATAGCACGGAAATCATTCTTGGCAGAGACTGGAGTTCTGCTCATCTCAGCGAGGTGGGCCTGGTGGCCATGGCACATGTTTGCATGCTGAGTGAGTCTCAGTCAGTGCTTCAGGAACCAAGGTCCAGCTGGGTTGGATGCGGAGGGCATGGGAGGGGACAGATGGGCTGGTTTAAGGAGCCACATCTGTGAAGTGATTTCCCCAGGCTCCTGCAGAGCTACCAGCCTGTACTTCCTTCCCCCCAGATATTCTCCAGCAAGGCTCACTGCCTGATGGGCACAGCAGTCGGTACTCCAAGACCAAGCAGTCGGTCTTGGCAAAGCGGAAAAGCTGCAGCTGGGTGCAGTGGCACAGGCCTGTAACCCCAGTACTCCTGGAGGCTGCAGGAGGAGGATCTCCAGTTCAAGCCTGGGCTGAGCAACTTAGGGCCCCTGTCTCAAAATAAAAAGATGAAGAAAAAAGGGGGCTGGGGATTTAGCTCAGGATGAATATCCCAGGTTCAATCACCAGAAAGGGAAAGAAATTTTTTTAAAAGGGGAGCACTGTACAGCACTGTGGAGGCAGGAGCTTTGCTCTCACATCTGCCTCCACCTGTGGAGGAACCGACTTCTGCCTGGGGACCAGGCCGCTTCACAGGTCCCATGTTCCTTTTGGGGCTAGTTAAGTTTTTTGCTGGGGATTCTGGGCTTGTGACATAACTGACCAGATGACCTGGCCTCTTATGCTCAGGTCCATCCTTGAAAAGTTGGTTCCAAACTGTGAGAATCATCAGCGGGAGGATTGGAGGCTTTTCCCGAAAGGTAATTTAAGAAATTTATCATTTGAGGAATTTAGGTCCAGATGGGTTCAGCCTTAGCGATTTCAATGTTTTGTGCCAAGAGGAGTGGGCGAAGGGTGCAGGGGGAAACTGGCCTGGGGCTTGGTGTGGGGTATCTAGACGCAGAGGAACTGCTGGGTGCCCACATCTGTAAGAGCAGACCAAGCCTGCACGCTGGGGCTGGACAAAGCTTGCAGAGGACCTAGGAGGCACCAGCCTCATTCACTATTTTACTTTTCAGTTCTCACAGGAAATAAAACAAGGCCCAAGACAGGCTGCCATAGAGTATGGGGTTCTGTGAGAGGAGGAAAAAAACAGAGTTCTGAGGGGTTTTGTTGCTTAGCAATAACGAAAAATCTCACCAAGGGAGAAAAGTGGGGTCTTGGCTAATCACAGTTTCCCTGCATTTCCTGCTCCTCTGCACCCATCAAGAGCCTGGTTCACATCAGCTGCTGCCCCCACCCCTCCTCCTCCATTCTCCTCTATCCAGTACTTTGTTCCCCACCCCTGACTCACACTCCTCTGATCCATCAGGGCTGATTGTTCTCTACCTCCTCAGTCCAAAGCTCTTGATGGATTTGGTAATTGGGGTAATTACGGTAATTTTACCTTAAAGACAGGCAGCTGCAGATTTCCTATTGGGGAGCCCTCCCCTCACGCTCTCCCCGCCCCCGCCCCGGGCCTCTTGCCAGCCAGCTCAGGGACAATGGCAAGTGGGCTCCCCTTCCCCTCCTCCAGGATGCAAAGCGGCTGCCATGGGGGTGGGGAATGCGCAGTAGCAGGCACCTCCGGTTGGGGGCCGGGTCAGTAGGGCAGGTTTGCCAGGAATCATTACCCTTCCCACCACCCAGCCTCGGTTCCTGGAGTTTGCAACACGCAGCAGCAACATTCACCCTTTCTCCATCCAGACTCTAAAACCAAGACAGGCGACACCCACCAACCCTAGTCTGTGGGTGAAGTCCTGTATGGGCCCCCCAAAGCTCCAACTGCACATATTCTGTGGTCAGCAGGTGGGAGGGACAGGCAAGAACGACGGAACCTTGAGTCACCTGCCCACAGCCTGGCACCAGGCAGCAGCACCCTCCCGCTGTCACCGGAACCAGCGCCTGGGCTGCGCTGCACCCAGCGGCTGCCTGAGGGATCACAGTGTCCTGACGCCAGAGCTAGGGGCTGCGGAAGGCTAGGGGGATCTCCTCTGGCTTTCAGTTTAAAAGGCTGTCAAAGGGGAAAACCATCTATGACGACCTGAAGGATGCCTGAGATGCACCAGACTGCCTGGGGCAGTGAGAGCCCCAAGCCAGACTCGAGCGGCCCCGCAAGGACTTTAGGGCCTGTGTTTAGAGGGAGATGAGGGCAACCCTGGAGCAGGCGCAGAGTTCCAAGTTGGCGCTGCCGGTCTGCTCCAGACCTGCTCCCGATCTGTGCCCTCTGCGCTTGCGGCCCCCTATCCTTCTCCCCTATACTTTCACCACTACTGTAATTACTATATACGGCAATCTGACCACTTATTTAACACCTCTCTTCCTCCGCTGGACTACAAATTCCAAAAGGAAATTCTGCGCTAAGTCGGTGTCCCATTCCCGTTGCTCTTGCCTGGCATTCAATAGAAGTTCTTGTTGATTGCACGGTGCAAGTCCTGTCGCTGAGTGACCAGGGAGGGCTCATCGCTGTCTCCTCCAGCACTAGGGAAGAAGGGAGCAGTAGTCATAGAATCCCTCATCACGCCCAGCTCCTCTCCTCTCTCTATAGGTACCTCCTCGCCACCCCTCCCATCTCCCGCAGGGGCCAATGAATGGCCCAGGCCTCCTGGGATTGGGGCCCCAAAGGTCCCGCCTCCTCTCTGGGCCAGCCAATCACTGGCTCCAGTAAAGGTGCGTGCAAAGGGTGGAGTAGGAGGACTTGATGGGACGGGAAAGCTCTGGAAGAGCCTGAGCCAGCGCTCAGCACAGGCGGCACAGGCGACCTCTCTGACCTGCATGATTCCTGCGTGATGCACGCAGCAGCTTTGGCTGAGGTCCGTCTATCTTCAGATCTCTTTTTCCAGCTTCCCTATGGCTGGCCCCTTCACACCATTTTAGTGTGAGTTCAGGTGTCATCTCCGGGAGGTCATATCTGTTCCACCCACTCCTCCTCGGCCCTGTCACGTCAATGGCTGTCTATGGCCAGTACCTGGGATGCTGGGCGCAAGTTTTCCCTGTCGCGGGAGGGTGCTCAGCATGACTGCGCGTGGCGAGCACTGCAGGGGGTTAGCACCCTGGGAAAGTTCCGCGGCCAGCCACAGGAGGGCGCTGGTGGAGGATTCTTTGACCTCTGCTTCCTTCGCTCTTCTGAGGGCGCAAGTCCTGCTGCATCTTCTACTGTTTCCCAGAATGCCCCGCAGCACGCGGCCTCATTGCCCAGAGCTGTGACCCCGCTCGCTCCCCCTTCTCAGGCTCCCTCTCCCCATCTCACTTACCCACTCCTCACCTCGCGCTCCCTGGAGTCACCTCCCTAACAAGCTTGCTCTCCAGTGCCTGGCACAGGCCTGCTTTGGAGGGCGCCAAGGCCCTTCCCGTCCTCTCCTTTGCCTTTTATTTTCTCCCAGAACCAAGTCTTTTCATGTCTAGATTGATGCATCTCGCGCACTCTAGCCCGTGAGCTGCCTGAGGACTGGGTCCTTCCCTGACTTTTTTGTCACGTGGGCCCTAGCCTGGCCTGGCGCTGGGTGCACAGCAGTCACTGAACATAACTGCTGAGTGACCGCAGAGTCCGGCATGTCATCCTCATCATCCTCTTCGTGACTTCGAAACAGCAGGCTGAATCTCTAGGGGCACGGAGGGTGGGTTGAGCAAGTTACTGCAGCCCCGCAGAGGTAAAGGAGTAAAGGGCTGCCGTGGGATCCACTGCAGCCCCTGCTGAATGCCGCCTCTGCCCTGGGGCTCCCCCCGAACACCCGATGAGATACATCCTCTGCTCTGGCGGCATTTGTGCCCTTGACCGAGAAGCTGCTTCCATCTGAGGACATCTTGCAAATCCCATCCTTCCTCCTCTCAGAAGCAGGAGGCAGCAAGAGGCTCAGATTCATTTGTGAGACTCTCCTAACAAACAGCACACATTGGGTGCCTCAAGAAACAGAGATTTCTTTTTTCACAGTTTTGGAATCTAGAAGTCCAAGGTCAAGCTGCCAGAAAATCCGGTTTCCAGTGATGTCTCACCTCCTGGTTTGAAAGAGGGGCCTCTTGGCAGTGTCCTCCTGCGGCCTTTCCTCTGTGCCCTGGGTGGGGAGGGAAGAGCCACCGAGTGTCTTCCTGTTCTTAAAAGGACACAAGTCCTATGAGAGGGGAGTCCTACCCTTTATGGCTTCTTTTCACCTTGATTACCTCATTACAGGCCCTGTCCAAACACAGTCACCTCAGGGCTTAGAGCTTCAACCTAGGAATTGGGGGAGGATGCAATTCAGTTCCTCACAGGCTTCAAATACAGTCCAGCCCAGCCCAAGCCAGACTGCAAAGAGCCTGGAGAAGCCAGGCACCCGCTGTGAGCTGTGCTAACCCAGCAGGGTGGCGGCTGCAGGATCATCAATCACCAGGATGCCACAGGGTGGAAAAAGATGGGCCTCAGATAGCAACAAAGATGAATGGGGAAACTGACATGTGATTAAACTGGGATCTTTCACTGGTAGCTGGGGCCACTCTGACATGGAGTTAGCTCAGCTGGCCTTGGGTTCCCAGAACCCCCCGGGGCAGCTGCCCTTCCTCCTACCAAGGTGAAAGGACTTTCCCTCCCACTGCACAGGCCCTGTCATCCCAGCCCTGGGAGGGAGGGAGGGGGAAACTGGACCAGTGCAGGTGCTGGGAACTGGTGGGGGGAAATACCATTGGTCCCCATTTCAAGCTGCCTGGCTCTTGTTAATAATTAATAATAATGAAAGCGTTGGAAGCACTTGCTATAGGTAATTCAGGTATGTTTTCCCATTTGCATCCAGCAAGCGGGGAGAACAGACAGCAACAGTTTCTGGAGCAAATAAATGAAAGGACAGGTGGGAATCATGTTTTCATTCATTCACCCAACCAGTCTTTATTGAGCACCTACTAGGACCATCATATCCACAGAAGTGAGAGACACCTCATGTGGTCTTTGACTTCACGGGGCCACCTCTTCCGGGAGTCTTAAATAAGATCGCTTCAGAGAGTGATCAAAGCTGGGCAGAAAAGCAGTGGAAGTGGTGTCAGCAACTTCGGATGGAGCGGTCAGAGAAGGGCTTGAGGAGGAAGGGACCTCTGAACTGAGACCCTGTGGTAGAAGCATCTGGCTGTGGGAGTGGGGGTGGGGTGGGACTCCAGGCAGAGGACAGTGCAGGTGCAAAAACTCCAAAGCAGGAATGAACTTGGGGTGGTGGAGGAACTGGAAAGGGGGTGAGTGTGGCTGACTACAAAGCAAGGAGGTGTCAGGGACATGGGGCCTTGGACTGGCCTCACCGGGATGTTGACTTAAGGCATGTGGGGTCCCTCCGGAAGCTTTTCAGTAGGGAGAGGGCGTGCAATAGGATTGAATGTATACTTTAAAAGGCCCCTGGTGGCTTCTGGATGGACAGGAGCGTTAGAAGGGAGCGCAGGGAAAAGCATCAGGGTCAGGGAGGCTTGGTGCCACCAGCCGCCGTTACTGGCATCAATCTCATCATCACTGCTAAGTGAATTACTTTCGGCCTGCGGATGCCTTCATCTTGAATCACTGTGTTATGAAGGGCAGCTCTGGAGAGGCCATCACCTGGCTTGGGTCAAGTCTGGGGAAGTTGTCAGAAATGCACATTCCCAGGGCAGGGCCCTCAGTGTGCTCGCAGTCCTGCCGGGGGTTCTGATGTACCACTAGAGTTGGAGGCTCAGACGGATATGCTTGTCTGCAGAATTCCTAAAGGAATCCATGGCCCGTGGGCCCAGGAGGAGGTCACCTCTCGAGGGTGTCCTGGAGGCATTAGTTTCAGTAGTGGGACTGACATTCTTCACTTTAAAACACAATCTGTCCCCTTTCCAAGCCCAAGGCCAGCTCCAGGCAAAACTGCACACTGCAGGAAGGATTCCCAAGGCAGAGGGGGCTGACCGTGCATTCTACCAGGTTTCATGGAGGACACAGGCCCAGGGGAAGGTGCATCCCCAAGTGGACTCTGGCTTCCCCAGAGTGCCCCAGTGAGGCTTCAGGGTCAAGGAACTCCCAAGAACCTTGGCTCTCTACCATTTCTCACAGGGAAACTTCCTGGTATTCCCTCCAACGTCATAGAGGAGGAAGTTGGCTGATTCCATGGACTTGTTGCTGCAAGACAGAGAAAAAAACAAAACTATTGGCCTCTTCTGGAGGCAGCAAGACCAACAGCTGCTTACAGTGGCCAGGGCTGGGAAGGCATCTTCACTGGTGTGGGGTCTCAGGTGGAAGAAGAGGTGGAGGACCCACCTGAGAGAGCTGGAATCATGACAGGGGTCCAGCACCCTGAGGCAGTGGGGCGGCACACGGTGAGGGCCAGTGTGGGTACTCCCTGCCACAGGCCACCTCCTGCTGGGCGCCAGAATTGAGGCCTCAAAGATGGTAGAATAAGTGGTGACAGATGGGACAGAAGCCTGCTGTGAGGGACAGACTCTCAGTCAAGATAGATTATGGATATTGAACTATTATGCATGATAATTATAATGATCATATACGAATCATACAATTATCATATGATGATTATAGGTATCCTGGGCTCAAGTCCAGGCTCTGCCCCTGATTTGCTATGTAGCTCTGGACAAGCCCCTTCCCCTGTCTGGACTTTAGTTTTCCAATCTGCAGGAGAAGGAACTAGCCTGGCACTTGCTAAGGACTGGCGACCTGAGACTCTCTGTGCCAGAAAGAAAGCTTCTGGGGTCTCAGGCTGCTTCTTGCATCTGGGAAAGTGGCCACATATCAGGCCCCACTAAGCTGTTTGGTGGTGCTGTGTGTCTTGCTACTTTGCTACAGGACCCTTTATATTGGGTTAATAATATCCCTTAGTTATTGCGGGCTGATCAGGTCTGAAATCTCCCGAATGAGTGTACAGCGAAGGCTAAATAAAAAGAAGCAAATGGAATGATTTCAGGGCTGCAGGAGGATAAAAGCCTTCTCACAGAATTTGAAATTCCCTTGGGACTAAGACCAAGATCCTCTCTGGGCGGCCCTCGTATTTATTTGCTTATTAGAAGAAGGGAGGGGAGTACTCAAGAAGGGAGAAATTACTCAAGGACTTCTCCAAGCAAAGTATTAAATTAATCCTTATTAAGGATTAAATTAATCCACTCAGGAGTGAAATGCCTGGGGCTATAGTCTTTATCCAGTTGAGATCGGATCCAGGGGTCCTTGGCTGTGATCTTATCCTCTGAGGCATCCCAGCTTCATCCACCATTACAGTTTTAATAGGGATTAGTGACTCACAGAGGTTCACTTACTGTGAGTCTGTTGCTCACTTCCAGGCTTTGGATAAATTCACAAGTAAAGCCAACTGGTTAATTTAAGTCCTGCTCGGGGCTGCTTCATCGTGGTCTCCATTGCCTGTGACATTGCAGCTTTCTGTACCTAGAACTCTTATATCACTCCCCAGACTATAACAGGTACATGATTGTGCATGCTCATTGTTTCCTGTATTTCCTACAAAACCTAATACAGTTTGCAACTTGGTGTTTATTTTTGTGGCTGTTTGATTTTTGTGTATCTCTTCTACATGTATGCTGATAAATCCAGGGCCTCTATCTGATCTTTTCCTCACTATTCTAGCATTCCACACAGGTCCTGGCCTGTAGTAGGCATCCATTAAATACCTCTAAAATGAACGAATGAATTAGATGATGGCCACCCTCATTATAACTTGGAGCCATGAATGTTCCTAGGAAGGTTGGAGAGCCCATTTGTGACCACCATAGAAAGGGAAAGCTGAGGGGCTGGCCCAGAGCATGTGTAAACCACCCCCCTCCCCATGGCCTTAAGTTCTGGGTGCTGATCCCTTGCCACACTGGCCTCTGGGCGGTGGCCTTATTCTGGATGAGAGCTGTCACAGAGTCTGCACCTTCTGAACCAGGGCCAATGCACTCTATGAACTGCCTCAGCAGTGGGGCCACTTTAGTGTTGAGGGCTCAGAGGCACCAGCAGGGAATCCATCACAGGCCAGGCCAGGTGGATCATTGCCAGTTTGAGAGTCTGTGGAGAGACGGAGCCATGTCCGCAGGCGCACTCATGCATGCCTGGAATTCACGCAGGTGTGCACGAACACACGTGCACGGACACCCGAAAAACCACAGGATGTGCATGGCACCCCCGCTGATCACGCATACACAATCCCAGTGTGTGCACACAAACACAACACGCTCATGCACATCCAGGAGTCAGGATTACAGGTGGTGCGACACAGCCGCACACCCACAGGTTTATATAAAGAGCGTCACCGCAAGCACATGCGCAGTGCAGACCTAACGCAGGGCACGCTCTGGTCTCGCGCTTCCCCCAGGAACAGTTCCGGACTCGTGCCCGGAACGCGCCAAGTGCTTTGAAGGCCCTTCCTTTCTACTACCCTCCTCCCCAGCCGCCCCGCACCCCACAAAGCGACCCCCACGTCCTCAACTCTCGCCCAGGCACACAGAGTGCTGCTAAAAATGGGGCGGGGGAGCTGTTTTCCAGGAAGGTCCCCTCACCCGGCCAGCTTCCCCTGCTCAGCCCCGTCTTCCCTCCTTCCCGAGACTCCGCCTCCTCCTCTCTGCGATGGGGCCGCCGCGCCACCTGGTGGTCATAATCTGGCATTGCTGGCGGTGGGAACCTGGAGGGTTCGGGCCGTTTCTCCGTTCGCTCGGGGCTGGAGGACACTCACCGCCTCGGGGCCGTCCGGCTCCTGTCCCTGTCTGCGTGTATCCTACGCAGCGAAGTCTTGAGGCCCCCGTCTCAGACTGGGGGCGCTGGCCGCTTCTGTCATTCAGTTTTCGCACCTGGGCAAGAAGCAAGAAGCACCCGGGCCAGAGAGATTCACGTCTTAGCCGGGGCGGTGGGCTGCGGGGGCCTCTCCTTGTCGGAGAACGCTTCCAGGCTGGGCTTGGAAATACTTATTTGTTGAACTAGGGACTGGATCACTGGTTTTGGGGGGGCATCTAGCCCCCGAAGAGGGTTTGGAGTGGGCGACTCTGAGAATGGAGTCATTTGAGGCTTCTGGGGGCGCCTTGTGGGACAGGGGCGCACGGCGCACAGACAGGGGCATCCCCCGGGCCACTCCAAGGCCGTGGGCATCGGGGAACTCCTCAGAGACCTGCGCACAACCAGATCCCAGGCGCTCGGCCCTGAGCACAGCCCGCCATTCCCTGGGATCTGACAGCGCCGCTGAACCTCAGCAGAACAAGATGACGTATAAGGCAAGGGCCAGGGCGACTTCTCCCATTTTTTTATACCTGAGCTGTCTGAAACATTTATATTAAAAGCACAGCATTTAGCTGGGTGTGGTAGCACGAGCCTATAATCCCAGCACTCAGGGAAGCTGAGGCAGGAGGATCTCAGTGAATTGAAAACCAGCCTGGGTTACATAGTGAGTTCAACGCCAGTCTGAACTACACAGTGAGACCTTGTCTCAAAAAAAAAAAAAAAAAAAGTATAGCATTTAAGAATTTCTTGAATTTAAAAATAAACTTCAATACAAAATTATAACATGGGGTCAGGGATATAGCTCAGCGGCATAAGCACCTGCCTGGCAAGTGCAAGGTCCTGAGTTCGATTCCGGGTACCAAAACAAAAAACCAAAATTATAATATGATGTGTTTCAGTAGCAACATCACCTCACAGGGCTGAGTGCAGAGAAAGTGGGATTACTGGATGCAAAGAGTAAGTAGGGGGTTATGACAGAGAAGCTGAGATCTGAACTAGGTCTGGAAGAATGAGCAGAGGGCACTACACCCGGCCTTCCAAAACAAGGGATGGAAACTCCAGGAGAGGGAAGGTCGTAAGCATAACTCAGGTGAGAAGCACTTGGAGAAGCAGCTGGCTTTAGCTGGCTTTTAGCAGCTCGGTGGGTTTAGAACACAGAGAGAGTTGGGCTGGGATGAGAAGGAAAACACTCCCTTGTGGGGTCTGGAGTAAGAAATCTGATCTCATCCTCCTTGAGGATGCAGGGAGGAATAAGAGGAAGGCTGGACGGATGGATGGACCGGTCAGTGGGTGACTAGGTGGGTGGATCCGTGGGTGAAGAGCTGAGTGATGGACAGGTGATAGATAGGTGCATAGGTAAAGGATGACGGTTGAATGGGGTGGGTGGGTGAATGGGTGGGTGATGATGGGTAGATGTGTAAGTGGGTCGATGGGTAGTGGGTGGTGGGTAGATGAGTGGGTGAGTGGATAGGAGACTAAGGAGGAATAAATGGACAGGTGAGAGACGAAGTACGCATCTCTAAGTGAGGGGGTGGCCTGAGTGGCCGGATGGATGGTGCGGCCTTGTATTAATGGGAGTTTGAGAGCTAGAGGGCTCTTTCAGGGTTCCGGCCCCACCCTTGACGTTCAGTAAGATGTGAATGTTGACATCACAAAGGTGTCTCCGTGCTCTTGCCCCTCCCCTTGTTATTCCTCGTTCCTTCAAGCCCAGGTCATGATAGGGACAGAGGGTAGCTCTGTTGTCTGGCCCTCACTTCCGTCCTAGGCAGAGCCTATGTTCCTGAGCCCTCTGCATCATTAGAGCTGTGATGTGAAAGGATTCTTTATGGGACCCTGGAGAGAACACATGGCTGCAGGCAGGCTGAGAGGTGTGGCTGTGGGAACAGAAAGTGCAGCCACGTCCTAGACCTGAGAGGAAGGGAGGAAGGAAACCCTGTCCTACACATGCATCCCAGCAAGGGTCTTGGGGAGACAGCGAGGGCTTCAACCAGATGGTACCCATGACCCTGGATGGCAGCGGCAGCGGGCATCTCACCCAGAAGAGGGAGCCAGCAGATGAACACTCTGACCCTCCCCTCCGCTCACTGCAGGCCTGGAAGCGCCTGCCAGAGCAGATCCTGATAGCACACATCATCCACACCACTTCAGCTGCCCCTTCTGCCAGCTGCTTCTCTTCCTTGGGGAGCCTGGCAGGGGGGCCCTTGAGGCAGGAAGAGATTGGGGACCGCCACTGCGGAAATATTCCACAGAGTCACCTGGTTGTGCTCTTCCTGGGCCACCACCTAGGGAAGCACACAGAGCTCCTCTGAAACCCCAGCACACCCTGTGCCTCCCAGTCCCCCAGAAAACCCTGACACTCAACGTGGATCACTAGGAAGGAGCCAGGAGCTGAGAGGGCAAGGGCAGGGTGTCAGCTGCAGCTTTGCCACTGGCTCAATCCATGACCTCTCTATGGCTCAGTTTCTTGTTCTGCAAAATGAGACTCAGAATTTTTTCCTTCCCTGGTTTCTCTGACACTGACGAGAATCTCGGTCAGGCAAGAGCCACAGGTCTAGAAACCACTGTAGATCTTTTCTCCATGAGCCCCAGGACAGCTCCTCCTTATTCGGGTCTGGCCCTACCCCCAGTGTAAAGGAAATAAAGGGAAGCAGAGACACTGGGGGAAAGGGAAGGGAAATGATGATAGCTACATTCTACTAGGTCTTCGTCGTATCCCTGGCCTGAAGTGAGCCCCTTGCGTGTACTTACCATCTCGTGAGTCCTCACAGCAGCTCCACATGGTGGGTTTTACCATTGTGCCTGTTTCACAGAGAAGGAAACTGGCCTGGAGAACGTGCCCAAGGGCCACACAGCCAGTAAGGACAAGAGAGGAGGGAGGGAGGGAAGGAAGGAAGAGGGATGGGTGGGTGGATGGATGAAGGAAGAAAGGTAGAAAGGAAAGAATGGCACGTATGATAGATGAAAGGAAGCAAAGGAGAAAGGGAAGAAGGGAGGGAGGGCGCGCATATGTTTAGCACTTGTAAAGAACGTCTTCTGCTCCATGATTTCTCATGTGTTAGCTCTTGTAATTCCCTGAACAGATAAAGTGCTTTATTAGCCTGTTACCGAAAGGGAAGCAGAAACTCCCCGAGGAAGGTCGAGGCCTCTCGCAGCCTCACCTGCCGGACAGCGTGAATCTGACCCAGGCACGGCCAGGAGGGTGGGTGCAGAGAGCTGAGTCGCAGCCCCAAGCTTCTGCATCCACCAGACACAGAGCGCACTCCCAGACCGGCTTTCCCGGGCACACCAGCACCGTGCAGTGTCCGAGGTGGGAGTGTTGCACGCTCCTGCTTCACATGGAGAGCTCCAAGGCCTCAGCCTATCAGAGGCTCTGAAAAATCCCCTGGAAAGAACCAGGGAAACTTGTTCCACCACCTCTGCATTTGGCCAGCTTATTTGTGCTCAGAGCCCTCTCCCTGGACCACCTGCCAGCGCCTTGTGGCACCTGTGCCCTGCCCACCCTGGAGGCCCTGCCTGTGCCAGCTCCTTTGCTCCCGATAGGAAGTCTCAGGAAAGGCCCACACTGGTGGCCACTGCACTCCACACCCGAATGAGCAAACACCGTCAGAGCCGTCGGAGCCGTTGCTATGTTTGTGGCTGAGACAGTGGAGGTGACTCACTTTCAAGGTGTTGCAGTTGGGTTCTGCGGGGGGCTGACAGGCAGAGTACCTGCAGAAGAAGGAAGAGGGAGGGCCTCAGTCTCTGGGATCTCAGGGGTGCTCCCTCCTCGGGCTGGAGAAATTCAGAGTAGGAAAATCCAGCAACTCTGATATCACAAGACTGGGCACTGTTCCCTGGCTAATGTTGATGCAGACAGCCCCGACCAGTACTGGTCAAGAAGCTCACTGTGCTTTTTTTATTTTTGAGACAGGGTCCCGCCATGCCATTCAGGCTGGCCTTGAGCTCACTTTGCAGCCCAGTCTAGTCTCGAACTTGCAACGATTCTCTTGCCTCAGCCTCCCGAGTGCTGGGATTACAGTTGTGCGCCACCACGCCCTGCTCACTGTGCTTATCTTGTAAATAAAAAGCAAATACACACACATGCACCCCATATGTCCACACACCTAGGTCTGCCGTCTGAGAGCTGTGGCCCATGGTCAGATGCCACCAGGCCACACATCCTCCCAGGAGGTGCAGGGATTGTAGCTTACCTGTCCTGGAAAGCAGGTCTCATGGAAGCCTTCTTGTGGAAAGGATTGAGAAGGAAAAGCTATCCCACACCTGGGTCAAGATCGCCAGAGGGAGAGGGGTGGACATTACAGAATTCAAAGAAAGCATTCACCGGGGCCAGTCAGGACCAGTGGCTGAGAGTGGGCTGACACTTGAATGGACACACAGGGGCCAAAGACTGAGAGCCAGGGCCTTGTGCTTACGACCTGTGTGGCATTCATTCACTTCCTGACCAATGTCAGGTTCCTGCCAGGTGCCAACCACACTGCAGCCCAGGGCTTGGGGACTCAGTAGCAAAGCAAGCCAGCCAGGTAGACACATGGAGTTTCCATTTCAGCGAGAAGACCTGCATAAACAAGCAAATAAATAATCTTCTCTAGACAGAGATTTGTACTATTACATGAAGAAATTAAAACATCAACGACAGGCACCATGCCATCACCACACACAAGGTGAATATTTAAATTTTTAAAAATTATTGTCTTTAGCCGCGCTGTTGTGGCTGTGTAGATGTGCTGAATTGATTCAAAGCATTTACTTTTCATGGTCATTTGTACTTTGGGGAAGACCCAGAGTCACATGATGCTAGAGCTGGTGAATCAGGTGGATGAGGACACACAATGTTTGCGCTTAACAAAAATTGCTGTCAATGTTTTGAATCAGTTCAGGACAAAAAGACACTCATGAAAGAGGACTTTCAGAACTGCTTCAGAAAGTGGCAAGAGCAATGGCCAAAGTGTGCTCAGAGAGGAGGGGAGTGAGACAGAGACAGAGGCAGAGGCAGAGGCAGAGGCAGAGACAAAAGAAGAGACAGAGGCAGAGACAGAGAGATCCATGCTGACCTGTAATACATTTTAAAATTTTTGCTCGTGCACACAGGCAGACAAATGTGCACATGTGTGTGCCCATAGACACACAGACAAACCTGACATCAAGAAATGGAAGAAATTGGCCCACTTGTCCATCCAAGGACTGATCAGGATTTGTGGTTCCCAAATTCTCAGCTTCTCTTTTGCACACATGTGCACACATGACAGGCATGCACACTGGCATATACCACACACATACAGTGCACACACTTGCACACATGTGTCTACACCCGTGCATGCACATGCTTCCTGCCTGTATAGGTTGGTACATTGTGTCAACTTGAGAAGTGTGGAAGTGTACCTCTGCGGGGGGCCAGGGTCCTTACTTTGTAAACATCCTGAGCCTGTGCAAGAGGAGGGTGGGGAGATGGTGTGGGCGGGTAGCTTCCACACAATGTAAAGGTGGAAAAGGGGCTTGCTCTCTCCTCCTTTCTGGTCTTGCTGTTTTTGCTGTCTTCTGCCACCTTGAAGTACTGCCTCTGTGCCACACCAAACCGCCTGGGAGCCAGCTGATTATGGACTGAAGCGTCCACAAACTGTGAGCTAAGTAAACCTTTCCTTCTTTAATTTTGAGCCTCAGATATTTTATCTTAGCAACGAGAAAAGTAACTAAGACACTGCCCCATCAGCCTGAGGTCACAGGAAGCAGATGCTGGCAGGACCAGGTGGCCCTGTCTTCCCACCACGCCCCCTCTCTGGCCCAGGTCAGGCATCAAACTCTCCTCCCTTAGGAGGAGGATGGGGCTTGGCCATTCACTGGGTACCACAGCACAGGCTGGGAGGTGCTCAGCAGTGACAGGGGCACCGGCAGCTTCTGGAGGACCTTTTTGAGCAAATTGGGTGCATCATTGTAATGGACCTCATCCCAGCTAAAAAGGCCGGCACAGAAGTCTTGCTCCAGCTTTTGCTCCAGGCCCTGAAGGAAGGAGGGAGGAGCACTGATAAGAAGCTGGCCTGAGGCCCTGCTTGACCCCTTGTCTGGGCCTCAGTGTTTTCATCTGCAACATGGGGACAATGGGAGCACCTCCCTTGTAGGTTGACCTGGGGATCAGATGGCCTACTGTGTGAGGTCACTGAGCACAGGGCTCCACTCAGTAACTGTCAGTGTGACCCCAGGACCCACACTGTAAACAATCATGCGCTACTGGACCACCTCCATACTTCCCAACCCTCCTGGAATCCTACAACCACATAAAGACCAAAAACCGAACACCAAGCCAGGAGCTGGATTCTTTCCCGGCTTAACGCACATGCCAGGGTACAGGGAGATAATGCAGTTCCCGAGATTTAGGGGAGGCCAGACGGTGACCCTGGCCTGGGACCCAGGCATCCTGAGAATATCTTCCACGTCTCTCTTTTCCAAACAGGACAGCAGCTATCAGACAAAGAAACCCGCACTTAAACAGGCGACCTTGAGAAGTGGGATTCAAACTGGTATATTTGTCCCCTGTGGAAAGCTGGAAGAGGAAGGCACTAAAATTGTTCAAGATAATAACAGAGCTTTCTTCTTCTTCTTCTTCTTCTTCTTCTTCTTCTTCTTCTTCTTCTTCTTCTTCTTCTCCTTCTCCTTCTCCTTCTCCCTCTCCCTCTCCTTCTCCTCCTCCTTCTCCTCCTTCTTCTTCTTTTCTCCTTCTCCTTCTCCTTCTCTTTCTTCTCCTTCTTCTCCTTCTTCTCCTTCTTCTTCTTCTTCTTCTTCTTCTTCTTCTTCTTCTTCTTCTTCTTCTTCTTCTTCTTCTTCTTCTTCTTCTTCTTTTCTTCTTCTTCTCTTCTTCTCCTTCTCCTTTCCTTCTCCTTCTCCTGCTTCTCCTCCTGCTTCTCCTCCTCCTTCTTCTTCTCTTCTCCTTCTCCTTCTCCTTCTCCTTCTCCTTCTCCTTCTCCTTCTTCTTCTTCTTCTTCTTCTTCATCTTCTTTCTTCTCCTCCTCCCCCTCCTCTCCCTCCTCCTCCTCCTCCTTCTTCTTCTTGTTCTTTTTTGTCTTTTTGAGACAGGGTCTCACTATGCAGTTCAGGCTGACCTTGAGCTCACTTTGTAGCCCAAGCTGGTCTCAAACTAGCAATGATCCTCTCGCCTCAGCCTCTGCATGCTGGGGTTACAGGCATGTGCCACCACGCCCAGCCTAATAGGGCTTTCTTGACCACTTCTGTGAGTCAGGCAACGTCCTGAAAGTATCATACACATTCTCTCATTTAATCATTAGTAAGAGAAGGATACTAGTGTCATACCTGCACTTTAAGGATGCTGAAAGACAGACTTATGGAAATTCAAATTGCACCTAAAATCTTGGAGTGAGGAGGTGCAGGGGAAGAATTTAAACCTAGTCTCTGTGGGTCTAAAGCCCAGTCCTTTAGCCCTATGTAGGCATCTCACAGTGGCACCCCAACCAGCCTCTCAAGAGCCAAGTAAGCCTACATGGGGAACAGTTTACCGCTTCCAGGACCAGTGGGACTTGGGTGCCAGGGAGGAATCCGTGGCCAGCTTCTAGTAGGCTGGCAAGGGACACCCCAAAAAGGCAGGTGTCTTCAGGAAGAGCAGAAGGTGCAGCTCTGCCTGCCGTGACAGTGGGGCTCCTACCCGTAAGTTCTGCGGAGTGACTAGAATCAAACTCCCCCTGCCCCCAAGGACTGAGCTGTCCAGAGAATGGCTGGACCCAGACTCTCCACATCGCTCTAGCAGAGCATCTGGCTAATGAACATGTTAGATATGTCACAGAGCAGACCCCTCAGCTGGATAATAAAGGGACAATGTGCTGCCGGGGAGCTCGGGAACCACAGGTCATGACAGTCCAGATAGAGTGTCTTGTTCTGCGCAGATGTGACAAGTTCCTATTCTCCAGGTCCTCTCAACCATCGTGGCCTGAGGTCTCCCCTGACAAACACCTCCTTCCACATGTCCTCTACAGTTTCCTTCCTCCTCCCTTCTCTGGGCTGCCCCTCCTCTGCTCGACCCATCCCCTGCTCTTTCTTAGCCACCATTCCCTTGTCTTTAAAGAGACAAACAAAAAAATCACAAAGCACAGTGCTGATAATGACACAGTGAGATAAGCACTTCTGCAACTATCAAAGGACAATATACAGCAAGAGCTTAGTTAATAAGTATATTCTAAACTAATCCTTCGAATCTCTAGTGCAAGGACAGATCTTTTGCACGCTTCTAAATTTGAGTCTGGCAGTGGCCATTGTAGGCCAATCTTGTAAATTTCTGTGTCCTGCATTAAATCTGGTTCAGAGCATGTGCAGTCTTTTGAGGAGCCTTCCCCCAGCCCTGCAAGCTCTGGTAAGCACTGCCTAATAGTTACCTATTCCTACTTTTTGTTTAGTCACACAACTACCATCAATACAACTGAATGAAATTAAATCATATTTGTAGAATACTAGTAAATATTTGACCATGGTCAAAGGTTAATGTGTGATATGATTAGCATGATTAATTATCATGATCAGTGTTTAGTGCGAGGAAATGAAGGAAGACAAGGTACTGTTATTATCTCCGATTTTTAAGGAATAGGCACTCACTGTTTTAAAAGTGTGTCTGATGTACTGTGTATGATTATGTAAGGATATTGTCACTGGGAGAAACTAAGTGAATGCTCAGAACACAGGAACTCCACGATATTGTGTTTGTAATTTCTTAAGGATCTAAAAATTTCAAAATACAACGTTTTAAAGAAAAATGCCATGTGAATGCATTGAAGTGCTCCTATATTGGAAGGGGAGGCATTGTGAGAGTGAGGCAAGTTTCCTGAGCAGTAGAGCATGGTGGTCAGTTGGGAAGGCTCTAGGGTCCTGCAGCTGTGGTCCCAGTTCTGGCCTCCATGACAATCAACACTGTCACTTTGCTTTACTTCTCTTTTTTCTACCTTATAGTGGGGTTGCAATAACAGCACTCATCTCTCAGGGCAAGACCAGGCTACAAGCAGGTGTGTGGGGCATCTGGGATGATTGCCCAGGGCCGGGCACCACTCGGTGGAATGTTACAGGATTCTCCAAGCATGCCATGAAGTAGCCCATGAAGAAACTCTTCCCTCAGTAACAGCAGGAGTGTGAGAGACCGCACTGCAGGAGAGTAGTCAGAATGCTGGTTATCCTGGGGTCAGGGTTCGTGGAAGGGCATGGGAGAGGCTTCAGGGAGGTGGAAGTTTCTGTAGCTTGACCACATCAGGTTGCTCACAGGAAGTCTGGGCACATTAATGGATTATACTTCAATCTTAAATACCCAAGTATAAGTGAATATTGGGATAATTGAATACTTAGGGGGGAAAACACCAAAAAGTAAAGGATTGGGTCTCCCTCACATACCAGACACCAGAATTAATCCTAAAAATAACTAGGAAAAGTATTGCTAGATAGTTATCCATTTTCTGGAGGAGGGAAGGCTTTTTCAAGGATTAAAGGCAATGAAGAGTTTTGGTGAAAATGCTCATGAAACTACCAGACGGTGAGCAGCCCTGACCCCCAGCAGTCACTCAGTTAATATTTGTGATACCAATTAAATGAATGACTCAGCAATTTTTTTGCTGGATGCCTGGCAGTGTGGAAGTGGGAGAGGAATGGGACAGGCCATGCTGATACCTAAGAACATCTGGGTAGCATCCTGGCAGGGAACCCAGGCTCAGGCACAGATGCCTCTCGGGACAACTGAGTCTCCATGGGAGCGCTGCAGCTTGTTCCAGGTAGGCAGAGTCCATGTTGCAAGCCTCTTCCTTCCCAGCCTGCTCCATCAGCCCCAGCCTCTGCTACTTCTGGGAAATCAAAAGAGAGTGGCAGTCAGGACTGGCTACCAGGAGGCAAGTTTTGTTTATTTATTTATTTATTTTTTTTTGAGGGGGGTGATTCTTTTTTTAATACTTGTTTTAATTAGTACATGTTTGCAGTACATCATGATTACATTTCTCCTGGGTAGTTGGTACATGTGCATAACACATCTTTTCTATGTCCCCTTCCCCTCCCCTTCTTTCTCCCTCCCTCCATCTCTTAGTCCTTTTCCCACTTGCAAAAGATCTATCCCTGTTTCCTATTATTTTATTGATACATTGGGTTTGTCATATAAGAGAAACCATGTGATGTTTAAGCTTGTGTGTCCGATTTACTTCACCTAACATTAGGCTCAGGACTCAGGCCCACTGCCCTGGAAGTGATTTCCAGGCTGAGGCCTATTACCCAGGAAGTGGTTTCCCAGCCACCGATTTTTATGGACCAATGTCTATGGACATAATGGTAATGGTTCCTGTAAGGACCCAAGTGGTCACCTCAGGATTCCTTCCTGCTGCCCTCAAGCAGGAAGGGAAGGAACTAGGAGGAAAAGAGAAATGCTCAGAGGTATGTGCATTCTCTTATTTCACTTTGTACAGCTTAGAGGTTCCCAAAGGCCAGGAGAATAAAGGCCACTTACCTGGAGGAGACTTGGAAGCTGCAGAACTGAACTGGATCCATTCCATTCCTGAGTCTCATTTTCTGAAGGCACTTTCCATGCAGATTACAGATGATGTCCAATTAGTTCTATGGGAAACATGGGATACTCAACCCTGGGAAACAGGAGCCATTCACGACCTCTTCTCCACAGAAGGAGCAACTGAAGCTCAGAGAGGTTAAGTTGCTTGCCCAAGATCCCACAGTAGCTAAGCTAGTGGAAAGGGGTACTGGGGCCCTGGCATGTCTGGCTGCAAAGTTTATCATTTTAATCATGTGTTATGTCACTTCAAATCTGCTCCAAGAAGGAAGATGCCCATACTGTCAGGCTTCAAGTGTCAGCAAGATATGTGAGTGGCAATAAAAGAGTATTATGATTGTAATTTTTCTGATTGTACTAATAGTCATGTAAAGAGAACCTATGCTTTCAGGCCACCTAAGGGCACACAGTGGCAACAGGCATGTACACATCTGCATGTACAGCAAACAAAAACATGCAACACGAGGACACAGTGACACGCAGGGAGACACATGTGTGCAAATACACACACAGATCTGCAGCAGAATCACTTCCTCTCTCAGGCTGTGGTGGAGACGGGGCTTGCAGTGACCCTTATGCCACTTACCCCTGAACTGAAAACTTCACAGATGTCCCTGACATCTCTGATGGGTGATTTGTGTTGTCTTTGGGCTAAGCAGGCACAGATATACAAAACGTGGCACATGGCAGCCATCTGGGTGTGTGTCAGGGCAGATAGGAGCCCCTGGTGATCACCATTCAATCCTAGGTCACCAGTGAGGCCAACAGGCCTGCGTCCTCCAGTCACTAGGATTTGGCTTTCTCTTATGCCATCAGAGGGAGAACACCATAGGAACGGACCTAGCTCCGGGTAGGCCGCACACACAGGCCTGAGCCTCACGGAAACACATGCTCGCTAGGCCATGGAGCTTCTGCACAGCTCATCATGAGGCTCATTAACAAAGGCAAAACTCTCCATGGGGAGAAGAGCTAGTGTGGCATCTAAGAACTGATGGCATTAGCCAGTCTCTGGCCCCAAACCGGTCGCATCCCAGCCCTCGGAAACAGAGGCAGCTGAGCAACAGCCTGTGTGCTCTGATTCCAGTACGTAGCCACAGGTTCCCTTCCTCTCCAAATCTGGCAGAGGCCACTACAAAGCCACAAGGCCCTGCCATGCAGGTTGGCAGACACGAGGTGTACCCTTGAGAGGCCCCCTCTTGTTTATGTGGGCCCTCCTTTGTGACTCCGCCCCTCTTTTTGTACCTCTACTTTTCGCCTTGTGGCTCCATCCCAGCTTGGAGGCTATGGTTCCACCACGATGCCAGACTTTCTTCACTTGTGCGGGATCCTTTCCCCAGCCTGGAAGGCGGAGTTACTCGCTCCTTTATAATGTTTATCTGAATCCAGTTATCCCTGTCCAATCATTTACCAAATATTTACCCCTAGTCATGGGCCATACTTCTTACTTAAACCTTTTTTTTTTTTTTCTTTTAGAGACAGGTTTCATTATGCAGTAGAGGCTGGCCTTGAACTCACTTTGTAGCCCAGGCTGGCCTCAGATTCACATATCAATCCTCCTGCCTCAGCCTCCTGAGTGCTGGGATTACAGGCGTGTGAAACCATGCCCGGCACTTAAACCTCTTTTAAAAGGAAGCAACATCGCTACCATAACTGGAAGACTCAGAGTCACTTGCCATCAGTAGAAGCTAATGGGAAAAATGAATTCCCAGCATCCTTGGCTGCCTCTGCCCTGGGAGTCTGAACACACCTCTGTGATGATATTAGTTGTCCAAGGTTTCTTCTGCTCCACTCTGATCCTAGTCCCTGCGTTTGTTGGAATCAGATTGCTGGCCAGGGCCTGGCACAGACAGGCTGCATCTCCTAAACCACCACTGGTCTCGCCAGGGATTTGCAAGTCTTGGAGCCACTACCCGAGACCATCAGCCTCAGGCATCCTGCGAATCTCATGTGGTCAGTTCTGTGACCTGTGGGCCAGCACAGCTCAGGCTTTGAGTGGATGCCCTACTTATCCCTCGTCTCCTGAAGAGGAAAGGGTGGGGCATGGTCATGCACTCAGCTCCGTTCCCAGCCCTGAGCACACAGGGGAGAAGGGCTGACCAGGGCCTGGGCTCATGGGAGTTGCAGTCTGGTGGGGACACAGACAACACACAAATAAACACACAATAATCAGGGCGTGAAAATTGTGCCAAGTCAGTCAAACCAACCAAGAGACTAGAGCATGAAAGAGACAGGGCCACCATCACAGAGGGAGCTGGGTGGCACCTCCTGACGAAGTGCCAGGAGCACAGTGATTGGACAGCACAGGCCACACAGGCAGAGAGGGCAGCAAGGACCAAGGGCCTGAGGCAGGAACGTGCTTTCATGGTCCTTCTACAGCAAGGAACCCAAGGGGCAAAGGTGCAGTGACAACCCCAGGTGGTGGCCATGTCCACAGACACCTGGGTGAGAAATCCTCTGAGATGACTCCGACCCAGGCATCCTCGATTGTCACGTGGGAGACGCTCTGAGCAAGAACTGCCTGGCTGAGCCCAGCCAACCCCGGAACTGTGAGATATAATCAGTGTTCACAGTTGTTCAGGGTTGCTTTGTGCTAAGTTTAAGGGGGTTAGTTACAGGGACATGTGGCTGTCTCCTACTTGAAGGGAGATGGGCAGACATCTGAGAGTTTCATGCAAGAGTTTTAGAATCCCACTAGGAAGTGAGCTTCACAGAGAGAAAAGATTTTTGTAGTCCACTGTAGCCTTGGCACGTCAACAGTGCTGACATATAAGAGGTGCTCGGTAAACATTTCCTCAGTGACTTCCTCGCAGAGGGAACAGAGTCTGATTCACATTATTAAGTTACAGGGTCATTTTGACTGACTCCCTTGCTTCAGATGTTAGGGAACAGGGTTGAAGCATGGTGACCATAAACAGCATAATGCAAGAGTCCAGGCAAGAGAGGAAGCGTTTTCATACCCCAGCTCATGTCAGGACCCTGCCACATCTCTCTTACCAGTATAAGTCCCTCCCATCTGCCCTGCAGGCCCAGCTGGACCCTCTCACACTCAGGGAGCTGACCCCCCACCACCACTATCTTCTTCCTTCAGCTCCTCTCTCTGTTGGATCTGCTCCTCCTCCATCTGGACGCCATCCACAGACAAGCTCTCCCTGTAGGACAGCCAGGCATGGCAGCAGGGGACCCCTTTGCTGAGGTGGATTTACTGGGCCTGCAGAGGGGCCAGGGCTGTGGCTATCGGGAGGGAGGAAGGAGGTCAGGCCAGGCAGTGCCTGTCCTTCAGCAATGACAGACACATGGTATCTCAGCAAACTGACTGGTGACCCATCGTCCTCTAGAATGCTTGGAACAAGAGATGCTGCTGCCCAAGACGGAGAAGGGGCCAAGCCACTCTGCCCGCTACACCTTCCGCAAGGCCAGCAGCCTCTGACACGCTGCATGGGAGTGAGCTCTTCTGAAGGAACACAGGGCACCAAGTGGGTGACAAAATCCCAGGGCAGCGCTTCACTGACCACACTGAATTTGTACCCCAAATGTCTGTATCTCCTTCCACCTACCTCCTTATGCTTGAACCCCTATGCCGTGGCCCTGGTTTTCCTGTTTGTATCTCATGACCCCTCATTCCCTGTTCTCCCCAGCCAGATCTGCCCAGCAAATGAGCCTGTCTAGCCCTGTCATGGGGCCAAGCCGAGAGAGTGAGTGGGTCAGGGCCAGGCACTGTGTGGAGAAGGTGGAGGTGGAGGGGCCGGTCTTCCACAGGAAGCAGAGAGGAGACTTTCCCTGTATAACTGTGGAGAGAGGGGGACAGTAATTTCTGGGTCCTGGCTGCAGTTTTTTATGACTCAGCCTAGAGAACTCCAATCTCTGTATCATGCCCTTTAATTCCCCTCTTCCTTCCAAGCTGCACTGAATGAATTTCCACTTTGTACAATCAAATATTTCCAGGATAAGACAGAGCAATATTCCTGGTCCAGATAAATTACAGTCCAGGGCTTCAACTGAGTTTGGAGATTATGTCTCTATACTGCTGACCAGAATCCTTGAAAAATGTTTAGGTTGCTAATAATGCCAAAAATACCAGACTGGAATCAACACTGACCCAGACACACAGCCACCAGATCATTAGCTGCCCTTGATAGACCAGAGGGAGGAAGAATAAATCCCCAGATTCCATAAATATGAAACAAGTATGTTCTGCAAATTCTGTGGACATCTGAGCTCAATATCTATCCCTGGCAAGATTCTCAATCTCGCTATTCTATCTGGAAACAGACCAAAAGCAAAGAAAACAGTAAATATAGATGGCTTAAATTTCCCTGTTGGAAAAGAACATTCAATTTGGGTTTTTAAAGTCTTCCACATGCTGTTTTAAAAAGGTACATAATGTAAAATGGCAAAGGGTAAATGTAGAAGGATAATGGGCTGGGGTGTAGCTCAGTGGCAGTGTGACTAGGCCCTGGGTTCAAGCACCACAAAAAAAGAAAGAAAAAAATAGAAAGATGGCAAAATGTTGGATAAATGCCAGCAAACAGGACAGATAACCAATTATCCTTTCAGATTAAGATACATTCTTAGATGAAAGGATCACATCCATATAAACCTGTGACAAGAACTTCCATGTACCTAATAACATAGAAAAAACATAAACAAGCACAGTTAGAAATGTGAAATTGACAGGAACAGGTAATTTTCCCACGCAAATCTGGCTTTCCAGGTACTGGTTTGCCAGTTTTCAAAATCTCCCTCTCATACTTTCTGTCTTCACGTAATCTATCCCCTCTGCTAGGGACAGGCCTCCTTGGTCCTGGATACTGCATCCTCTTCCACAAACCCTGGCCACTGCCCATGGCCTGGCCCCAAGCCCTCGCTGCACTAGAAACCATTTTAAAATGCAAGCTGAAGGAGGGAGCGTCCTCATGTGTGGTGCTCTGCGGGAGGGCAGGGAGAAGGACATCACAGTGGGCAAGTGGGACACCAGGGTTCCACCTACCATTGCTCAAGTGGACATTGCAGTTGTCTACTCCACATCCTCTCCCCTCCTCCCCATAGTGTTCCAGCTGTGGCCTCACCCCCAGCTCAGTGACACCACCATATGAGGGACCGCTAATAGGTATGGGGTTATTTTGTGGGTGATGAAAGTTCTAAGATGGTTTGTGGTGACGGTTGCACAAGCCTGTGAGTATACAACACACTGTTGAGTTGTACAGTTTAAATGGGTGAATTGCATTAGGTTTCTTTTTTTTTTTTTTTTTTTTTTTTTTTTTTTTTTTTTTGGTTTTTCTCCGGTACCGGGAACCGAACTCACGACCTTGCGCTTGCCAGGCAGGCGCTTTTGCCGCTGAGCTAAATCCCCAGCCCTGCATTAGGTTTCAATGAAGCCCAAATCATTCCCAAGTTCATTTGTGTAGGGCCCAGAGCTGGTCTTGGTTGACCCTCTCAAGATCTTTCTGTTTCACCAGTTGAACAGAAAATATTTGCAGATTGCTTTTTACATATTCTTAATTATTTTTCTTATCATAAGAAGTCAATGAAGGGGTTGGGGATTTAGCTCAGCGGCACAGCGCCTGCCTGGCAAGTGCAAGGTCGTAAGTTCGATTAGTTCGATTTCTGGTACCGGAAGAAAAACAAACAAACAAAAAAAAGAAGTCAATGAAATAGAAAATTAGTAATTCCCCTATGATTACTACCACGGTATGCACACTAATGGTACGCCCTGTGTGTATCTGGAGTTCTCTCCAGGCATGTTCAACCCGGGGCCAGCCACCGTCTTCACACCAGCCACACCCAGAACTCAGCTTTGCCACCAGGCCAACAGGAGTGCCAGGTATGCGGGACATTGGATACTCTGCTGACGGTCTGGGCCCTTACAGTCTTACCTGCATGGCGCTGTTTACTTGACGTACTTGTCCAGGGAGAAGTTAAACCACCACCACCACCCTCCTTTTGAGATGCTTAAAATGGGTTTCATCGTGATATTTTTTCATAAGCACTAATTTTTGGACGATTTGCATTTGTCAGTATCACAAGTCCTTTTGCAACAAGGATCCTCCTGTTGATTACTTTGCACCTTTGGGTAGAGATAAGGAGAAGACAGTCCTGGAAGCAGACTTCCCCAGTCAGAGTCTGTGAAATGTTGACACATCTGGTCACATTGCTCTTGAAAAAGATCACTGTAGTGGATTTTGTATGTTTCTTTTGCATTCACTTTGCTCCTAATGCCTACCTGGCCTCCTGCGTGGGGTTTCTTGTGGCCTCGAGTCCTTAAAGCTGGATTTTGCCCTCAGCTTGAGGCACCTTCACTGGTGTTGTTTCCTGCCCCCCATTTCTGAAGCCATGGTCTAGGACCCAGAGCCAGCTCCTGTATGTGTGATTGGTGCATCACACAGAGCCCATGCTGAACAGGGTCTCACACTTGGTTTACTGCGCTGCTGTCACCCTCTTGAAACTCTTAATAATTTTTGAATAAAACCAGCCATTCTCTTTTTGCACATGGCCTGTCTTGCCAGTACCTCCCCCACAGCCCTGGCCATGCCTCCCCCAGCTCCCCTCCCATGCACTGAGGTCAACCGTGAGCTGCAAACAAATCCATCCAGAAATGTATCTAAATGTGGAAAGCAAAGAAATCTCCAGTCTGCCAGTGCCCCAAGAAAGAGAAGTCACGTGGCCTCTCTCCTGCAACAGCTTGGCCATTTTCACCAAGCAGAAGCTTAACTGGAGACCAATTCCCAGTTAATTATAAAATTGGCTGTTCCGCTCTGTTTATGGTTTTCAAGAAAACTGCGAGCCAATGCCTCCTGCGAATCTGCTGGCACCCCACGCTGGTGCACAGCTCCGTTCCTCTCGCTGCTTCGCGATTTGCTGGGAAATCACCAGCATCTGTTTTTGTGACAATCTGAAAACTGAAGCTCCTAAACTAAAACAAAAGTAGTCGACTGTGTCACTATTTGATCCCTAAGGAGTGAGTGGGGAGCAAACATTTCTTTGGGTGAATTTTCTGGGGAGGCCAGCTAGGGCCAGAGGAAAATACAGGAAAATGTAAAACACCCACAGTTCTATGGGGGTAACTGTGGCATGGCCATAAGCGTCACTTTTTAGCAAGAGGATTGTGTTTAGCAGGTGTACAATATTTGTTCAGAGTCCTACAAGTAAACAATCCTTTGGTTTGGTTTGTTTTCAATATTTTGTTAATGTCTGGTGTATCCAGAAAAATGCGCAAATCCTAAAGGTCTAGCATGACTGTCACCAGTTTAGACTTTCAACATTTACTGAGCACTTGCTGCATGCCTAGCAGCAGGTACATCCAGGCTTCAGTTTATCATTTATATCAACCCCACAGGTTAGGGCACTACTGTCCTCAACTTACAGATGAAGAAACACCCAGGAGGATGAAGGGATCCACCCAGGCTTATTCAGTTAGCAAGAGGTGGAGCCAGGATTTGAACCCAGTCTGCTAGCACCAGCACTAGTGCTCTTCCTAGCTGTGCTAGAAGGTTTGAGGCAGGTATCAAAGTGTACATGTGATCTGAATGCATCTTCTTCTCCTCTGTCAACCCTGCTGCCTCCCTGAGGTCCCTGTCTCACCAAATGGCACCATCCAGCAGTCAGGGAGCCACTCCTGACAACCCTCCTCGCAATTCTCCACATCCCAAGGAGCATGAAAGAATTCTCCTCTTTATAGGTCTCTTACACCCGCCAACTGCTCTGATCCAACCCACAATCCCCTCTCCCTGGGCCACTGCCTCATCACAGTCTTCCTACACATCCTCTAGGTGCCCTCGTCCAAGGAGCTCTTCTGAGCTCCCAGAGCTGACCCTTCAGGCCTTGGTGGGGTCCTCAGTGGTGTCCCAGGTCCCTGAGGATAAAATCCAAGTGCCTTGCAGTGGCCCAGTTCTGACCTGCAATCACTTCTTCCCTCCACCTGGATGCCCTTCCCTTGTCGGGCCAACTGCCCTTCAGGCCTGGGCCTTGAGGTCACTTCCTCAGATCTTCAGACACTCACCTAGATTAGGACTCTGCATTTGCTTGGGCCCAACACTCTCGTGCCTTTCCTGCTTGCTGCTGTCTCCTATTGCCTGGCCATAGCAGGTTTCCCAGAGGGCCCCAAAATCCCTGACACTCCTCCTATGGGGCTTTGGTCTCCGTATCCCTCTCTTTGAACCTGGAAGGTCCTTGACTGTGTCCCTGGAGAGAAGACAGCAACAGCCAGACCCTGAGACTTCTGCACCTGGGCAGCAAGGCCACCTGGCTCTCTCTCTCTCTTGCTCTCTCTCTCTCTCTCTCTCTCTCTCTCTCTCTCTCTCTCTCTCTCTCTCTCTCTCTCAGAAACTGGTTGCCACTCTGAGGAGCGTAGGCCACAGGCAGCTGCTCCAGTCCACAGCCCTGCCTGAACCTAGTCTCAAGTAATTTCACATAGATGTCGGACATGAGTGGAGAAGCTTCAGATATTGCCAATCCCTATCAGGTTCTGGGCCTCAGTCAATGAAGGGCAGGATTCAGGCCTCTAAGAGCACAAGCAGTCTTAGGGCATAGCCCTGTGCACGCAGGTGTGCCAGAAGCATTTGGCTGCATCCTGTCCCGTGAGATGTACAATGGCCATGTGTGCTAATGTGGGGTTATGAAGAGGGTCTCTCCTCTGCTTCCTCAGGACTTGCCAAGAGGGCTGCATTCTTCATGGCCACCTTGCTCTCTCATGTAACTTAGCATATGACTACCATGTGACTAGAGCTCCTTTGAATGGAGCTCCCTTATGCAATGCACAACCTGAACACCAGAACTCAGCCACATTACCATCAAGGAAGCAATCCTTCTGGGGACAGGTAAGGGACAGGCAGGACTGAGAATCTTGCATTTACATTTTTTAGTGTCATCTCAAGTGAGCTTTTATTTGTTTTTTGTTTTTGTTTTGTTTTGTTTTGTTTGTACTGGGAATTGAACTCAGGACCTTGTGCTTGCCAGGCAGACGCTGTGCCACATCCCATCATCGTCTGCCAGGCAGACGATGAGCTACATCCCTGACCCTCAATTTAGCTTTTAAGTTAATGCCTTTCTTTTAAGACAAGAAAGACCGGCTCATTCCACCCTGTGTTGCGCATTCAATGAACTGTCAAGCGGTAAGTGATGTTCTCTGCTGGCACTGCTCTCTGGCCCATGGAATTTACAAACTTGGCTGTTTGTGTTACAGACAAGAACAAAGACATTCTGAAGTATAGGCAAGGTAATTTAGCCCCCTGACTCAGGTTGGAGGCTGGCCACAGGGGTGGGGAAGGCGCAGCTACGGGTGTTCCCTTCATCTGTTCAGGGTGTGCAAGAACCAGGGCCAGGGAGACACAGGACAGCTGAGGAGCTGCCTCCCGGGGAAGAGCCCAGGCCCAACAGGCCTGTGCTTCTCAGCCCTGCCTGGGCATCACAATCCTCCGGCAGCACTGCCAGTACCTGGCAACGCCAGGACCAATGACATATAGTGTCCAGGCAAGACCTGGGCAACAGCCAGAAGCCGCCCAGCCCTGCTGACAGTGTCACGGTGTCACTGGAATTAAGAGAACTGCACAGAAGTGTCAAAAGTGGGCAGGAACACCCGGACTCTCCCCCACAGCACCTCTGGAGGGTGGCGTGCATGTTGGTGACAGCTACGGGAAATGAAGCTACTGCCCTTGACCTAGGAGACAGAAGTCCCCAGTGTTCTACCAGTCACTCTTGGAAACGGCAAGTTGCCCCCACTGAATACGAGTCATTTGAAAACAAGGTTTCACTTTTTAAAATTCTCCTCTTTTTAAAAGTTCTAATTTCCGTTTAGAAAATCAGAAGCTATTATAATCCTGGGCCTCTGTCCCTAAGTGGCAATGGGCTGAGGCGGAGTGGTGGCTGCCCTGTAAAATGCCTCTCACCCTGGGGCTCTTTCCAGAGATATTTTGGAAGTTTCTAAAAGTAGCTTGAGACTTGCCTTGGTCCCTTCTTCCCACAAGGCCATAGGCGCTCACTCACTCCCTCCTGAGTCACTTGATCAGACTGCTCTCCATGAGCCAGGCAACAGAGGACCTTTGCTGGCCTATCTGGTAGAACGTTTGACATGTGCGAGGTCAAGAAGCTCACACATAATGAAAGACTACAGGAGGGTTCAGCCTTCCCAGAAAATTACTTCCCAGTACAAGTTTCAAATTTTTAAATATCTACATTTTCGGACTCAATGATTCCCCTCTTCTGGAAATCTGTTATAAGGACAAGTACACAAAGATAGATTTCTATGCACACTGAGGTATACTCATACTGGCAACCGAGGTGGAGCAGGGGGAGGAAACAACCTAAAATTCCATCAGTAGGAGAATAGGAGGCTAGTTAATGAAAGTACCATTCATTCACAGCAGGAAATCTCATGCAGCTTTCAGACAGAATAAATTTAGATCTTTGTGTTTATCTAGAGAAAAACAATATAAAGTGGGAAAAGTTATTCACAAAATAGTATACAGAGTACAAGCCAATTTCGTATGTTGAGTATAAATATATACAAGTACAATTACAACTTAAACTAGATCATAAATATGATTTATATATACATTGTACTGGCCAGCTTTCTTTCACTGTGACAAAATATTCAAGCAAGTCAACTTAAAGGAGGAAAAGTTTATGTTGGCTGACTAGGTAGCCGCTGATTTATTTAGAATGAATAAAAAGACAAGGGAGGGGAGCGGCTCTGGTCATGGAACACTAAGACACGACCTCACTTCATTGACAACCCATCCAAACAGAACTTGGAACCCTGGTAACAGGCATCACAATGCAGCAACAGCCGTCTCCCGAGCTCACTTGGCCACAGATGCGTAACAGCGAACATGCTGAGCTGCTTCCCCACTTCTCAAGGCTGCAGCCTCAGGACCCCAGGCAGGGAAAGTCAATGTGAGAGGCTGAGGAGATGGTTGACTCCACCCAGATGCTGCAGGGCACTATGTAGGAGTCACCCAACTGTCACAGACA